CCTTCCCTGGCTATCCCACCCCCGCCCCGACCGATCAGTCACTTTGATCGCCGCCGCTGGCTGGTGGCGGATACCCAGGAGAGCCCCTCTCTCGGAAGCGGGCTCTGAGCGCCATGTTCCCCTGCGGAGACGGTGGAGCGGCCTCCCCGAACTCCGGAGGGCGCAGTCGTGCGCAAGGGGAGGGGACATCCATCTGGAAGCCGGGTGCGCGGTGCGCCCGGGAAGGAGCGAGCGCGGAGGGCGGCGGCCGGGGCGCTCAGACTCCGCTCCCGGCACGTTTGCCTCGCGGAAGTCACGAAGGGGTCGAAGCGAGCCCTGGAGCTCGAGGACGTTCCCTTCCTGTGAGCCGCCCGAGGCCGGTACACGAGTCGTTCTTTCGCAGAGTAACTTAGGAGCTCGGTCTGCGCTAGGCATAAACGGCAGCCTCGGCCTGAAGGTCCGCACAATCAGCAGATAAGATAGACACGTAAATAAATTTCGACACAGTGTGATGTCTGAAACAAAAAAGCATTGTGAGGTTAATGTAAAAAGGTAACATTAGCCGTGGGGGAAGCGGGAGGGTGCGTGAGAAAGGCTTCCTGAGGTTAGCGCTGCGGAAACTGGAGTTGGAAAGAGCAAGTGAAATTTGCTCCAGTGCATTTCTGGTAGAAAGAACGCAAGTGGTCCCTGACCTGACTGAGTGGCGAAATTGGAGGTAAACTGAACAGGTAAACTGATCAAAATAAAGGGCTTCAGATAGGCTAAGCTGCATTCTGACCTGTGGGCCACTGGGCTCCACAGCAGGGTGTTTAGAAGTGAACAGTTCCAGATATTTTATTTCGTTTTTGTTGTTTTCTTAATTTATTTTTGAATACGTAATGCACATACTTGGTACACCATTCAGGTTATAAAAGGGTTTTTACAATGATCAGCCATTATGTTCTTTCTAGTGGTAACCGTTGTTTCCCATTTCTTGTGTTTCTTTCCAGAGAGTATACAAATATACATTTTATAAAGATGGTCTTTCAAGAGATATTCTACAGTCCAATTACTCAAAGTTTGTTCCTAATACAGCAGCAACACCTGGGGAGCTTGTTAGAAATGCAGAATCTCAGGCCCCATCCCAAACCTAATGAATCAGAACCTGCCTTTTAACAAGATCCTCAGATGATTCTGCATATTAAAATGTGAGAGGCAATGATACACAGATACCCATTTATAAAGATGTATTGGAAGGAGGCAAGACAGAAGGCAGGGAAAGGTTGGAATGCAAGGTCCCTAAGCACAATCTATCTTCTATTCACAATTGTACCTCCAGCATTTGGCACAGTGTCTAATATATAAGTAAATTAAAAAAATATATATATATATGTTTATTGATTTCAGACAGAGGGAGGGAGAGGGGGAGGGAGAGAGAGAAACATCAGTGATGAGAGAGTCATTGATCGGCTGCCTCCTGTACACTCCCCACTGGAGATCGAGCCCACAGCCCCTGGCAGGCACCCTGACTGGAATCGAACCATGATTTCCTGGATCATAGGTCCATGCTCAACTGCTGTGCCACACCAGCTGGGCAAGTAAATATTTTTTAATTAAGTGAGAATAACACAAGCCTAAAGCAAGGCAATGGTAATAGAAGAAGGAACCAATCTGAGAAATATTTAAGGGTTAAGATCAACAGAATTTAGTGATTGTGATGGTTAATTTTATGTGTCAACGTAGGTAGTCCATGGTACCTAGTTTTTGGTCAAACACTAGTTTTCGCTGTATTTGTTTTATGTTGTTAACATTTAAATCAGTAGACTTAGAGTACAGAAGATTATCCTGCATCATGTGGATGGTTCTCATCCAGTTAGCTGAAGGCCTTAAGAAAACCCTGAGGAGATATACCCGGTTTGGCTCAGTGGTTAGAGTGTTGGCCCGTGGACCAAAGGGTCCAGGGTTTGATTCTGGCCAAGGGCGCACGTACCTCAGTTGCAGACTCGATCCTGGCCACGGTCGGGGCCCACATGCGAACCGATTGATGTTTCTCTCTCTCCCTTCCACTCTTTCTCTGAAAAGCAATGGAAAAAATATCCTGGGTTGAGAATTTAAAAAAAGAAAACATTCAGGAAAAAGGAATTCTGACTCTAGACTGCCTTTGTACTCTGCAGCATCAGGTCTCCAGCCTGCTGGCCTGCCCTGCAGATTTTGGACTAGCCAGCTCCCAAAATAGCGTGAGCCATTCCTTAAAATAAATTTCTAAATAATACACATATCCTATTGGTCCTGTTTCTCTGAAATATCCTGACTAAAACAGTAACTGATTGGATATGGAGTTGGTGGGGAAAGGAGGATAATTCCTTTGGAGATGGAGTGAGTGGTGGTGACACCCATCTATAGGTGCTCCAGTCAGAACCTGGGAGCTCTCCTTGCTTTTTTTGTCTCACCCCCTAAATTCAATCCATCACCAAGTTCTGTGATTTACTTTCAGTATTAATCTTGAATCCATTTAATTACCCACATGTCTTGCTACCGCATTAATCCAAGCTTTCTCCAGACTCTTCTATTATAATAACCTCCCAGTTGGTTTTCCTTCTTCCACTTTTCCGCCCTACAATCCATTCACTACATACCAGTCAGTTTGCTTATCTAAAAATGTAAGTCAGGTCTGGCCGGTGTGGCTCAGTTGGTTGACCACCCTCCCATGCACTCACGCACTGATTTCGTCAGGGCACATGCCTGGGTCGTAGGCTCAATAGGCAGCAGATCATGTTTCTCTCTCTCCCTCCTCTCAAATCAATAAAAACATCTTAAAAAAAAATCAGATCATGACACCCCTTCTTCCCAGTTGAATTCCCTTTAGTGGCTTCTTGTTATTTTTATAGTAAAATCCAATTCCTTACTGTGCCCTGCCAGGCCCTGCATAGACTGACTCCTACCTCCCACCATTCTAGCTCATTAACCTCATTGCTACCAGCCCTCTAAGGCTACTAAGCCTTTTCCAATTTTTGGACTTTCTGCTTACAATGGTCTCCCCACACCTTTTTGCATGATTGACGTTATTTCTCCTTCAAATCAAAGTGCAAATGTTACCTTTGCGGAAAGGTCTTCCCTGACCTCCCTCTTACAAGGGGCCTTCCCCCAGTTCCTCTGTCTCATCACTCTGTTTTTGTCATAGCATTTATCACAATCTCTAATGACTTTATTTAATATCTGTTTGAAGCACAGGCACCTTGTCTGTGTTCTTTACTACTGTATTTCCACTGTCTGGCTTGTTATAAGTGCTCAGTGTTTTTGAAAATGACTGTATGGTGCCTGTCATCACAGTAAGGAATAAATTTGGCCACACAGATCTTGACATTCCTGTGGGACATTCAAATAGAAATGGCTAGTACATGCTTGGAACTATAGAAGCCTGGGCTACAGATAGAGCATTAGGAGCCATCTGGTTATGGCAGTGGATAGAATTGTGTGAAAGAGGCCATCTGAAGATCAGATAGAGTGAGAACAAACCTTGAAGGACGTCAACATTTAAGGAGCAGCCAGAGGGAAAAGATATAGAGAGGACAGAGTAAGATTTTAAAGAATTTGTACCACTGTGGAATATGGTGTATTTGAAAATTCACTGTTAGAAGTCAGGAGACTGGGGTTCTAGATATTCAAATGATCAGATTATATTGAACTGAACACTGGACACATGGGGAAAGCTCACAATGATTCCTCCTTGTCTGGAAATTGTCCCAGTACACAAGTATAAGTGGGTTCCCCAAAGCCACATTTGCACCTTTACCGTAGCTGATTTGGGAAGGGGGCTCAGAAGCAGATTAACTGTGAAGTTAGTGAAGCTCTAGCTTCGGTGCCTCTCATTGCATGGGCTGTCCAATTTTTAAGAAAGTCCTCCAAATTTTATATGCTTCAAATGATATGAAATCTGGATCTATCCATAGGTGGGGTATAAGTAACCCAGTGGAATCCTCAAATTCTCTAGTAGCTAGTTTCCAAAGATGGCCCTTCAGTGAGCAATATTCAAGCCCGTATGTGGCCCCCTCCACTTGAGCCTGGTCCAGCTCTAGGATTCAATTTTGACCAGTAGAATAGGGCAGAAGTGGCGCCCAATGCTAGGCCGT